CAGGGGCATGAACCCGTGTCCCCTGCATCGGCAGGCAGACTCTCAACCACTGCGCCACCAGGGAAGCCCCCCTTCTAATCTTTTGTTCAGCTTTACTTTGCTCTGTAACAATTTAAATTTGTATAACGAGTGTCTTCCCTCACTGGAATGGGAGGGCCCCGGGTATAGGGCCTGTTCTGTTCGCTGCTGAATCATCAGAATCCAGACACTTGCCGGGGACAGATGGGCCCTCGGATATGCCCTGAACGAATTGCTGCTTTTCGCCTGAATGCTGCTTCCCTTCCCTGCTTCCATTTCTCCCCCAAATACCCAGGACAGTGGTCCCTTCTCATTCTCTGCTCACAAGAGGAACTTGTTAAATTGACACAGTGAAAATTTCAACCCTCCATCACCCACCCTACAACAACACTACAGAATCATTGGTAGGTATATAAACAGAGGCTTTGGGAGAAAAAAAAAGGCAAATCTTCCACCTAGAATAGCCACTTCCCTAACCGGGAGGAAAGTACCTTCTAAGAAACAGCATCACATTAGTTATATAATAACTGCTGTTTTGCATTATCAGAAAGGAACGTGTAGGTCATAGCATGGTGACAGCTGTCCCAGAAGAGCAATATCTTTGCAAATCAAGAAAAATCTTTGTGTAAATACCTTTCAAAGGGTATAGGAATAGACGCACATCAAGAGCCTTCTGATGCACTGGTTGTACCTTTATTACTTTTACCTCGTTCACTAACAGTTCCGTGATGCAAGGTTACCATACACAGTTAGATAATGTCTGCATTGCACATCTAAGGCTATACAGCAAAAGAACCAGAATTAGTACAAATACAAGAACTATATTTACATTCTGTATACTCAGGCTCCGAACATCAGATAATATTTACATAATAAAACGTGAAAATGAGAATCTGAAATTAATAATGTACATTGTTGCTAAATGTGCTCAACTCCTTCCCTGGGGAGAGATCAGTTTGCAAAGTCTTGGTTCAAAAAGGCCACTTATGCTTCATGGGTTTTGTGCATGAGGGTGGTGACAAGGGACTTGAAGTCTCACCAGACAAGTACTTCAGAGCCACAAGGTCTAAGACGACTCACGAGAAGGCTGATGGATTCCTCAGGTGAACTGATGCCAGAATACGCAGCATGAAAAAAATTAACTTGAAGACATGAAAACAACACACGACGGCCAGGGTTTGGCAAGAGACCAACCTCAACTCGGACATTCTGCCTGAGCACAAGCCGTTTTGGCTGAATTTTTAATGTGAAATTTGTATCAACTCTAACTTCTTCCTTTAAATGACTAGAGGCTTTCCTAAGATTTTATGGGGCTCGAACACAGGTTTCATAAATGGCCTTTTGGAACACAACAGCAGCAGATCATCTCTCAGCTGATATCTCCATTTACTAAGGAAGCACAAATCAATACATT